TGTCTAATGAAAAGAATTAAAGATAAATATTAAAAAAATAAAAATTAGACATTAATATTTATCGAAAAATAACGAATGAAGAAATCAGTGGTGGCCTAGCGGTTAGAGGCCCGCCACTCGTGCACGAGGGTGTGGGTTCGATCCTGGCAAGTGCCAATGTGATTTTTCCGAGTCATATATACTTTCTAAGAGTATTTAGACACCCCTGAATGACGGTGAAAGAAAATATCATGAGGAAACGTGGACTTATAATTTCACAGTTATAAGTTTGAAATCACAAACCCGTCTTGAGCAAGCGTGGTGATTAATACTCAAACTTTCTCCATGTGAGAAAGAGGCCTTTGCCCAGCAATGGGCCCTGGTAGGCTGTGAAAAATATTTAAAAAAAATGGACCTCTTTAGAGATAGAGAACAGAAAATATATAAATGTAACTCTTAAAAATATTTTATATATGTATTAGTGTATTGTTATCAATTGCATGCAAATAATTTTCATTTCAAGGTTATGTATGATCTTGAAAATTTGATTGTACTGACTCACATGCTGTCCCTATGAAGTAATCTACACTCTACAGTTTATAACTGATTTTAAATGTTGCCATAAATAAATGAATTTCGATTTAAGTAACGCCAATAATAATGCAAAAATACAAAACCAATAATAATGCAAAAATACCGCTTAAAAGTGGTATTGTTAAATATAAAAAAATTCAGGGTAAAATTTTATATTTCATAAATACATTATTTTTTAATGTTTTATCAATTTCATTAATACATACTTTGAAATAAAAATTAAATTGCATGGAGATTAGAACTACTAGGAGTAGGATTTATTTAAGTTATGCAAGTAGTTAAGTACGTATATATTTATATACATAGATTAGATAGAAGACAATAACCGCTTTTTATTTTTTAAACTACGAAACGAAGAATGATATAAAAAAAATTACAACGCGGTTACTCTGTATATGAAATATACTTCTTTAAAAAAGTCTCAGTCCTTAAGATATCTTTTTTTTTTTTTTTTTTTGATGACGTAGTGGAAACTCTTTTTACGAGCCGTCCAACCGGCTTTGGTGGGGCCGGAAGGGATGTGTGAGGCTCGGCCTGGGCAGGCCCCTACTCACTAAAACCACTGCGAAAGCCATCGGCCGCTATGTCGGTGTACCCCGGATCTGTCAGCGACAGGGCACACCAGCGACTGGCCGGTCCTGGCAAAGACCGGACTTACTCCCTCGGAGCATGGGGGCGATCCCGGCAATTAGGACCACCCCGACGACGCCGGGCTTTCAAAAGGGCCGGGTTACCACGCCGACCCCAGCCCGGAACACAGGGGTGCTATTGGAGGCGTAGGAATTGCCTCCGTCGCACCCCCGTACGTCGCCTGCGGGGGGAGGGAGCATCAGCCGCCCTCTCCCTTTCCCGCTGAGATGCCTCCTTCGTGGACATGACCGTCTCACAGAAGGAGGACACCGCCAACCAGGACCCATCACTCTCGAGCATCTTCTCCACGACACTCGAAAGCGACAGGTCCACTCCGCCGAGAGCCGCCACAAGGTCTTGGCGTTGCGCAGCCCATCTCGGGCACACCTCGAGGGTGTGCTGGGCCGAGTCCACCGCAGCGCCGCACTCATGGCATCCTTCTCCCGGCTCTCTCCTGGCCGTCCGAGTCCTTAAGATATCTGGTGTGATAATAATTTATCATTAATTTTAAAATTTACAGATTACTACTGTGTAAGATATTTATTTTTTGTAAAGATATTTTAATGTAAAATTTTGTTGATTTTTCTGCCCACATCTTTTGAAAATATACCTGTCAATAACAAATCTAGAAAAAAGTGAAACTGGTAGACGCTTATTTGTGCTGTCTCGTTTTATATCAGTTAAAAACTAGTACACTTCACTTTTAGAGTCGGTCAAATAGTTCTTAGAAATATCAGCTTACGACCGCATTACTTTTCAGAGACGAAATTATCAATGCATCAAAGTTTTTTTAACTGATCCAAATGATTCGGTTTAATTAACTTACTATAAGTTTAACATGTCTTTATTGAGAGACATTTAGATATTTTAGTACATATTTTAAATACTTCTTTTATTAGAAAATGTAAATAAATATATTGCTTCAATAAAATGTACTCATTTTCTTTATATTACTTCATCTAGAAGATTTGTCAAGTGACTGTTTTATTTATAGAACATTTCTACTGAACCCAATCTGTCAAAATCACTGTCAGTGAGTGACAAACTTCTAGACGAAAGTTATCCCGAGCGCAGTGAATGAAACTAGATAAGCTTATAATCAAATAATTGGTAATAGTTGAAAATTACCTCTTTATTTTTATTATATTTAGAAGACTTAGTATACATACGTTTTGCGTAAATGCCCTGGAGAAATACTCATAGATCTAAATCCGATCTTTCAACTAAAATTTAGGCAAGTTATTCTTTCAAATTTTAATAAATATAGCCTAAGAAAAAATAATGTTATTTAATTTTAAATTGTGGCTCATTAGACAGTATTGAATAAAATTATATTCCCACATTAGTTATTAGTGATAATAAATGAAAAGTTGCACTTCAGAAAATAACTCTATAAATGTTGTAAAATGTTACGTAATTATATGTCAGCTGCTTTAAATCTCAGTAGATTAATGTTCTGAAAGGTGTTGGTTATTTGTGGCTGGCGTTAAATATATTTACGTACAATAAATATTAGAACAATGTATTAATAATAATGCATAATAACGTGCTGTGTAATATTTTAGTTCACATGAAAGCAAAGTAATATATTATTTGGTCGTTAATATTCATTTCGTAATCCTGAAATCATGGAACGGCCGGCGTCGTCGGCTGCTCTCGTTGTAAAGCCGAAATACAACTAGATGGCTGTTCAAAAATAGTCCGCGCTGACCGACGCCGGGCTGCATACAAAACTGGTCGGGGCGCCCAAACTTATCGCCTTATCAAATTTCCCGGCCCACACCCATCCGCCCACGCAGCACTCAAATTTCCCATTGCGTTCTCAACAGCCGACGCCGGCGGTCATGCATTAGTATGTTAGCACAGCTAGCTCCACTTCAATCGGCGACACAGAAGCACTTCGAAGCATTAATCGATTAATAAGCACTAACTTACACTAGGGTAACACTGCACAGAAACGGTTCACGTTCGCGGGCCCGGCGGTACGCTCTCGGCGCCAGCCACTACTAAACTGTTCGCAACGAACCCAACCCGCCACAAGATGCTCCAAAAATACCCCTCATTGTGTGTACATTCACAACACTTATAATGCCTAGGCTTTATAAAACTCGATTTTTATTAATAGTGCAAGATATATAACCATCGGTATAAGAACTAAATGCAGCGGGCTATTAACCTATATGCATGAACTGGGACACGATTTGCATAACCGAAGATGTTATTCCTGAAGAAAGTATCATCCTTCATTCATCATAATGATCGCATCTTGGAGTACTTGATACAAATCTAGAATCACTTCAATTCATACTATTTATTATCTCAAAAGACAAATTAGTGATAACGGCAAACTAGCAAATTTTTTGGCAAACCCTCAATTTTTAGATTCGTGATATTTTAGTTGGCTGAATTGAAGTTTAAATTTATCAGGTTAACACAGATTAACCGCTGTCGATCTATTGATAATAATAAAACTTGTGACGAAAAATATTTTATTTTTAATATGAGGTTATTGTGAACTCTCTGTTATAATCGTTTACAAACTTATTTTATTTCTTGTTCATAAACTTCACATTTTGTAAGGAAATTAGCGCTGTAGTACAAGAGAGGATTACATCACTCAATATATCCTGATTACACTGGAACACTCTCTGGACTCTTCCAATGACAATTTGAATATGTATTACGAATAATTTAAAAGACTTTGTTACATTACATCCGACTACCATTCTATACAGAAACTCTCAAACTAGCAAGGAAATGAAAAGATCGATTCAAATTAATACTCAATGTAAAAGGCTACTATTCAAAATACTAGATAAACAATAATGGATGATATATAAAAGATATATGTAGTATAGAAAGGAAATTAACAAAAAATACTTCAAAAACAAATAGGTAACACTCCAGCTTTTAGCATTTTCATTCAGATTCGATATATCAATCATATTAAATAATTAATTGAGTATGATTTTGTTCATATAATTTTCTGGAATGATTTTTGTCACTTTCTTTTTGAGCAAAAGAAATTCTTTTCTTAAATTAATCTTTCAAATTGACACGTATTCAAAAATATTCTAAGTTCTTCCTCAAATTCAAAGTATTGGGAAAAATCCATTACCAGATTTTAAATCATACCATTACGATGAAACAAAAATGTACGAATTTTTTCATATATTTTTATCCTCTTCTTTGATATATTAGTAAAAAAACAAACTATTGTTACAACAATGTAAGTAATGTCTTGCATAAACCAGATATCAATTTTTAAGAAGGTCAAATAATACATTTGAAATATAACATCAAGGCGTAAATACTTAAATATCACCAAGAAATCAGCTAATATTAAATCGATTTCAAATATAATTCTAATAGAACAACATAGTTTTCATAAACATTTAAATATGGTTCTATGACAACATATAAATCACAACTAAACATTAATTTGGCAGACGGTTCAATGTAATTATCCTAAGAATCTATTATCGTGAATGCGTCTTATTTATTATATAAATATGTAATTTATAAACTCATAAACCTATGTGAAGCTCTTCTGTAGCTGGTCTTCTGATATCAAATGATTGGTATTGAAAAAATAATAACCGTAACTCAGTCAGTATAAAATACTTTTTTTAAAAAAGAGCATCAAAGAAAAATGTGATATGACAATGCCAGCAAAGAATAATCCAAACGTCAAATGTAAATCAAACTTTCATTAATGTCACATCAAAATTTCTGTGTATGAAGTGAAAAAATAAATAACAAAAAAAAACACAATGTAACTCAATAATGTTCAGGTTATGATAAGTGTCAAAAGTTTCCTTGTGGGGATGTTGAGGAGTGCATTCGTAGTGGCCTTCCTCAGCATACCAAACCCCGTGTCCGCTTTAACAGGATTTAAAAGCTGGTCGAGGAAGGCTTTATATCATAAGGTCGATCTCTGCACCCAATCGTGCTACAGCCAAATAATCCCTGGACTCTATTTAAGCAATGCACGCGCGGCAGCAGACAGAAATGTTCTCCGACATCTCAATATCACCCATGTCCTCACAGTGGAAGCTCATAGGTTACCGAAGACAACGTTCTTGGATACGAATATCAATACCTTATTCATCAGAGCCTTCGACACTCCAAACACCAACCTCTTAGCGTATTTCCCTATGTCCAATGCTTTCATAGAAGAAGGTCTCCAAAAAGGAAATGTTATTGTCCATTGTCACTTCGGAGTATCGCGATCAGCGACTTTGGTGATAGCATTTATTATGCAAAAGTATAAAATATCATATGAGCAGGCTTTTAACTTTGTACGTCAAAGGCGAAGATTCATCAACCCAAACCCAGGTTTCGTCAGCCAGCTAAAAGAATATCAGAGATTGAATTATGACGTGAACGGTTTCCAGAGGTTCGAAGCGTTTATGAACGTGAATGCAAGAAGGCACAAGTATAAAATCGCATCTTTGGCTGCTGTAGTAGTTGGAGTTCTGGTACCGTTGGCAGTTCTCATCGTTTAAAAGGTTTAAGGTAACTTGTAAAAATAGAATATATAACATGAATCATGATGTTATTTTGTAATAAATAATTTAATTGTGACGTTAATTTTTCTTAATACCTGTGGCTTTTTCGGTTATTTTTTGTGTTTATACTCAACATTTGTCTCTATACTCAACATAAAAATTGTTAGTATAATCGTTAACACCCACTAATAACGCATTTTTTATAAATATATTTGTCAGCAACATTTCATCCTGAACGGTGAATCTGTATAAATATATGAAAACAAAGCTTGAAAGTAATTTTTATTTTACAAATGTTTTTCGGTCCTCTGACATTTTAATTGAAATTGATGAGAATAATGTGCAGGAGCATAATATTTATAAATATGCTAATGTAAGTAATATTTTTTTATGATTCTATAATGTTTCCTCGTGTTTATGAAGTTTAAAGTTTTCACAACTATATAACATGAGTGCCAAATTTAATACAGGTACCAAACCGTTTGACCAATACTAATATCGATATTAGTTAAGAAAATAGAATAGTTATTTTTGAGGTGTATCCCTACTAATATTATAAATGCGAAAGTAACTCTGTCTGTCTGTCTGTCTGTCTGTCTGTCTGTCTGTCTGCTACGCTTTCACGCCTAAACCACTGAACTGATTTTAATGAAATTCGGTACAGAGATAGAGTTGACCTTGAGAAAGAACATAGGATAGTTTTTATCCCAGACTTTTGAAAGGTTCTCTTGGAAACGCGATATAACCGAACTCCACGCGGCGAAGCTGCGGGCGGAAAGCTAGTATTTAATAAAAGCAAAAGGGAAGCAATATTTTATGATGGCTCTCGATTGTGGTGACATGTCACTTGAAACATGGTTGTTTGTTAATTTCGAAAGAAATTTTCTATTTTTCACAAAGCAGAAAAGCTCCAGTCAGTGCCAAGTACAGCGGTACCTCAAGGCTGTCAGTTTCAATGTCGTTTACGCAAATATATGTTTTATTAACCGCGTCGCAATTGTCAAAATTCTGCGTACAATTTTGATGGCAATGTCACTGTGGTGTGGTTATTGTTGTTCTTGTCGGACTATTAATTGGGTTGGTATTTTGGTCCAGCTAAATTTAAATCAGAGGTTAGTAGTCACAGGTGCTCTGCGCTTCGGTATGATGAAACGCAAATGTAACATATAGTAAACAATTTGTTTTACTAAATCAATAAAAAGTAAATCTTATTAAATTATGTTTCATAGTGGAAAAAGATTAAAGTGTTTTTTTTTATAATATACACAGCCAACAATATTAAGTTTACCATACTATAACTTCTGTTTATAAATTTTACTTTTACCTAAGCCTTCAGGGCTTACCAATTTCATCGTAATAATATATAATGGATAAAAAAAAAGAAATAAGTTATCCTCGCATCACCTTTGACATAATTTAGTTGTAAGAATTTACAGTTAGTTCAAATTTCTTTATATTTTAGATTGGAATCGAATCTTTAGCTATTTTACACCATTTAAATAGATAATGATTGTCGGTTTAAAAATATTATTTTGGTACGCCAGGATCAAGACCATTTTTCCATATGAACATAAAAAACCAATCAAATACGATACATACAAATTAAAAACGTTTTATTGATTTTATACCCAGCAATTAATTTCAATGGGATGGATGTAAAAACTTTGAAAGGGGCCATCTGATAGTTTATTTTCATTTTATAGCATCTTAAAATAATGAAAATATATTACTATTTCATGGTTCTGAGAATAATACAGATAAGAATAGCAATTATTTTCAGGTAAACTCTTAAATAACCCCGTCTTCATTCAGTTTATACCCAGTCTCTAATTTTGAACTTAATCACTTAAGATATCACAAGGTTTTTTTATTAGGACTTAGAATTTTAAAAATCATTTTTTTTGTCATCCCGATCAATCAAGAAAAGATGTTAACAGGATCTACATATCTCCGAGACATTTCAATCTATGATAAGTGATGCTAAAGGATAGCCTATTCTAAGGTACAGGATTACCAGATTTTGTGACGTATTCAATGGTCTACCAAAACTCACTAGTACATTTTTGAGCCAACCTTCACTTAGACATTTTTTGTAGTTTTTATTATTGTTTCTGATTGAAGATGAACTCCTAACACTATGTAAATTCCTGACGTTTGTAATAAGTTTAATAACGTACTAAGAGAACGTAATACATCTACTGTAAACGAACAACTGCTACAGATTACTTTTCAATGTTTTCGCGGTTATTTGATTAATTTATACTAATTTATTGCAGTTTTGACTACTCCTTGAAATAAAATGTCTCCTCATTACTTATACAATTCTATGACGTTCGTCGTAAAACTATGATATTCGGATACACTACTCAATTTATTAAATTATTTTACATTTTACGACGTTATCATTACTTTACAGGAAAAGTGATCACAGACAGACGATATAAAATTGTCTGTCAGTTAATCTTGATACATATCACCTGCTCATCTTTACGACAAGCGGTTGTGGGTATACAAACTTTATGACGATGGTTTCTTATATAGAAGACAAAAGGCGATTGGTATCGGTACAAGGATTAAGGAACTTAGATATCACGAGTAAACGTGGATTGCAGTCATCAGTACGTAAACACTTAGGAGATAAACCAAGCTATTACAACCTATTAACTATGATTGAAATAAAAAATTAATTTATTTCAATAAAGTAGGTAGTGAGAAATTTTTAAAACATGGGATAACCTCCTCAAAAATATAAATCCCATGTCAGTGACCACACTGCTATACCCTAAGACATATTTAACGTATTCTGTGTTTTTACAAGGCAGTACGCGAGAAAATTAAAAAATCTTTGGGGCGAGATGAAAAATAAGAAGAGTAACTGACAGACTTTTAGCTTCTCTACCCATTATAATTTTTCCGGTAGAATAACTGAAACGTCAGATAAAATGTAATATAATAAACTGAAAAGTATATCCGAAAATTATAGTTTCATTTACAATAGCCCCATAAATATCAATAATAGAGCTTCTATTGTTTTGGCATCTGAGTGAAATAAATTTTATCAAATACGTAATATTTTAAGCTTTCTATCTCGCTGACAGCGAGTAGACGGACAAAAATTTGTAACCAAATATCTGATAATTTGAAATAAACGTGGCCATTTGAACAGACCAAGAATGTTACTCATATGTCTGGACCAAAAAAAAAATATTGAAAATTGTCTTATTAAAACAACCTCTAAAGATGTTGTAAGTGTTGTTTCTAATTTTAATGAATAAGGAAGACGAAACTGTTTTCGCATAAAATAATTTATATAGTTGATACGTTTCGTACAATGTAAATTAAAGTAGGTACATTGTATGCAATCAATTCTATAGATATATGTATAAGACTACTTACATACAAAACAAATTATGTTTTAAATCTTATTAAGTATAATTTTATAATAAATGAGTAGTCAAAAATTTATATCTTTCGGTTAATATATATAAATGCTTTATACTTATTAATTAGCTAATAATAATTAATTTTTAATATATTTTCCACAACCAACATTTAAAACTTAATTCTGCATGCTGTAATATATGTAGATTAAATGTTCGAAGTAGTACGTTTGTTTGGTCTATTTGGATTAATTTAGGAATGACTGGAGCTACGAGTACATATATTATATATTGTAGTCTCATATAAGGCTATATGATATTTATAAAATTATTTAAAATTCTTGATTGAATGATATTACGTTAAGTTTGAATAAAATGTATCACATATAATTCGTAAAATTCGCAAAAGCAGGAGCGATTTTTGTTCCAAGTTTTATTGATAGCGTTTGCTGGCAACACATTCCAAAATAATTATCTATTTTTGTGAAGCCGACGCAACGACGGAATGTACACGACAACAGACGTTATTTTTGTTATAACGTCTCTGGAGATTTCAGTTTCGGAGTATTAAAGATCGTCAAAAAAAACCTACGAAAATTTGTTTTGCGCTTTCATAAAAGATGTAGTGAAGTTTTGTAATGATTTCTCTTTGAATAGTTTTTTTTTTAAACGATATTTTAAAAAGATTAAAAGATATTTGAGCTTATACAGTTTAAATTTATCAAACATTAAATGTCTGTCGTTTTGATTATACATATATGGGATTGAACGAAAAAGACAAAAGTTGAGAGAACAATTCTGCAGATAGCATTTATTTTGCTCTAACGAAACATTATTTTATAGCAGTTGTTGTAACATTTCATGAAATCAGATAATTAAAGATACTAGAAGCCTGTAGCTTTTTCTTATCCGTTTTAAATTACTAGTTCTATAGTTACAAGTCTTCTGTAATAGTTGAGTTGTAAGGTACTTTAGAGAGAGATACCGTCTACACGATTTTCCTATTTACATCAATTTATTTGAAATTGTCTTTAGTTTTCTATGAATATAATAAAGAAAATAGAATTCTATGGTTTAAAAAGTATATTTTGGAGGCAAACACAAAAAACTGTTTCAATTTCTGTGTGGAAGATATGTTATATTTACCATATTATTCCACCATAGGACATACGTTATTTATTTAATTTAAAATATGATTACTGTATAACAAATTTAACTCACTGTTTACACTTCTTTGCATATAAATTTTTCTTCTATATTTTGCATTTATAGTTAAAAACTTTTAAAATTCTATTTGCAAAAAAAAACCGCCAATTTCAAAGTAGATTCATCCGAAGTAATAGCTCTCGTTCTGAATATTTCTTTCAATTATAAAATAAAACATATACACCAAAAATTAAAGTAATTTATTTATAAATTTATTAAAAATAAGGCTGCGAAGTCTACAAAAATTTTATACAAACAATAATTTATTAAAAAGTACAGTATTTTGTTCTTTTCCATTGTGCGTAGTTTTTTAAATAAAAAAATTAATTATAACTATAACTAGTAATCTCATTATATAAAACACTAACCTAGGAGATTCGTTGTCTTCGAAACACTGCTTCATTTATTGCAATAATAATAACTAATTTAACCTAAATATTAATCTACCAGGTATATTTCTAACAGTAACAATTGTAAAATTTCCAAAAAAATATGTCTAAGTTTTTTGTACAGATAAAATTTATTTAGTAATCTCAGTGGGACCTTAGTTTTATCTAAAATGATATATATAACAATAGTGGATACTAGAATAGGCACCAGTAAAATTGAACATTATTACAATGAGTAAGGCTTTCTTAAAAATGTATAAATCTATTTACAATTTTACAGATAATAAGGCACTTGGTTACAATATAAAATGCAATACCATCACTGTTTTAAAACTCTTGGAAGACAATGAACGAGTTATCATTAACTTTATTTACAACTATTTATGAGTGTCTTTTGATGACCTTATGTGTACTTTATACGAAAAACTAATTTAGAATTTAAAATTAATCAGTCTCTCAGAGCAGAGCTAAATAACAAAATAAGGGAACTGTTCTATGATTTTTGTCCCGTACTATTATTTATTATTGAATCATTTGCAAATATTGATTCTCTTCATAAAACGAAGATAAGGAAGTCCTGAGGTCGTTCACAACCATATTGTCTCCGCCTTGTAGAGGGTGTGTACTGCTAGAAACTATTTCAGAACTCTTCCAGTTTTCGCAATTCTCAACGTATTCTAAAGTCCGCTGGTAAGTTTCTTGACGCATAGTATTTTGATTCTTCTTCCTACCATTCGTAGCCTCTATTTGAGATTGAGATATATCCCACACTTGAACATCAGCCTGGTTATTTTGACTCCTTAAGCTGTTCATACTACAATCAGTTTGTTCACCAGGATTTTTCATTATTTGGTTGCAATTCATTGATATTCGTGTACCGTTCACGACAGGTTTATGGCTACCAGTTGACATGTTAACTGAGTTTTGTGTAGATTTTTGCATATTATGTTTATTGAACTGATTACCCGGATAGTCCCATTGATTGTAAGATCTCTGGTTGTTATAATATTGATTGTTGTTCATCATAGCTTGGTTATATTGATGATTGTTTTTCGGTGGCGGCGGACCCATAACATTAGCTGCATTGTTCACCGCGTTGTATGGAGGTGGAGCTGGATATTGTACATTTTGATTGTACTGCGGATTCTGTGCAGACGGACTCATGGTCTGTTCGTAATAACCATTTAACGACCCTCGGTTCATATTGCCACTATTGTCGACGCTCATCATAGAAGACCTAGATATTTGCATCGGATGCAATTGATTACTCTGGTTTGTATAACTGCCATGTTGAGCATAATTTTGCATTTGGTTACCGTAAGCCATATTCGAATTATTTGGAGGCATCATCGGTATCTGTGCTTGGTTTTGATTGAATTGTTGCATCATTTGGTACTGCTGTATATTTTGATTTCTCATATTTATATTCATTTGATTTTGCGTAGGATATGCTGCTGCTTGAGTGTATGTTTGGTTTTGGTATTGGTTAGGGACATTGTTGTAATTTTTGTTTGGGAGCTTAGAATTACAATTCTGATGATTATTATAGGCTTGTTGTTGCGACAATTGTTGTGCTGGATTCATATTCATCATAAGGTGTTGATTTTGATTTTGAATCGTTTGCGAATTTCTTGGCATATTAGAGAGGTTTTGTACCATAGGATTAGGGCTTTGGAGACCCGGATGCATTGGACTAGGCATTCCATGACTCATTGGACTTGCTATGTTTTGATTCATTGGACTGGTTATATTCATCATTGGACTTCCCATGTTTTGCGTAATAGGACTACCTATGTTGTTGTTACGCGGACTCATCATTTGATTGGGCATTTGCGGACTCATTAAACTTGGCATACTCTGTGGACTCATTGCATTATGTTGCGGAGACATAACAGACATTACACTCTGAGGGCTCATAACATTGTATATACTTGGAGGGCTCATTATACCTGGTGGCATGTGTTGTGGACTTCTTATACTCTGTGGACTCATAGAACTATGTGGTAGACTCTGTGGACTTAACATACTATGAACCAAATTAGGACTCATAACTGTTTGAGGTGTCATAATAATAGTCTTAGGACTAATAGCTGGCTTTTGAGGTAGAGAATTATTAATCCTCATTCTGTTTGATTGCTCCGTTTGATTGGCAGCCATCGTTTGCAATGATTGCAAAGGATTATTGGCTGCATTATTAGCGGGAGGTTTTAAGTATTCTTCGCATTTTTCATTTGCGACTTCAGATATAACCTGTTCTTGAAGTGGAGGATTCTTTTCATCTGGACTTTTGGCAGCTAAAAGAGAGCCGCTATTACCAGACATGCTAACGTCTAATGACCTTAAATCGACTTGAATATCACTTATGTTGAGATCACTTCCTATGGCACCTAGATTTTTTAGAAGAGAATCGTCACTAGTAGCGACATCACTTATTTTGTCACTGGAATTGTTTGTTTGTGTTTGACTGGTTAGAATGTCTTTGGTTGTATCATTGTTTTTACTTGCTTCAGGTTTGAGGTTGGTAGAGTCCGTTTTGGCTGGTGTTACCGAGTCGGTTCCCAATATTGATTGGTTAAGATATTGCATCATTTCGTCTGGTATCACCAGCTTGTTCTCCACCATTTCTCCTTCAGCAACCTGTGCAAAAATATTATATGATTATATTATATAATTTATAAATGAATTAAATTATTATTATAAAGTTCTGATGCTATCATATTATAAGTCTTTTTCCAATTACCTGTTCTAGATTTACTTCTTGATTTGGGTGATGAACTTGAGCTGTAGTAATAACAACTGTGTTAGTGGAATTGGAACGGGATTCCTTATAGGCTATTTCATGGTCATCTTCTGTTTTAAACGGGAATGGAGTCTCACCCTGTAGATTATTTTGAACAATCATTAGCAACATGTTAAAGTTCAGTCATTTTAGATCATTTTTATGATACAATTATATAATATATATTTCTTTATAAAACTTACCACGTCGTCGTTATTAGAGGGATAAGGTTGATAGCTTTGAGCTTGGTCACTTAGATTTGATTGCTCTGAAAGTCTTCTAGCTTCTTCTTTAACCTGTACATTGGGATCTAGTTCCAGAGCCAATTCTTCAGCTCTAACTTCGGAACAGGTTACACCGCGAAGTAATACAGCCTACAATTATTAAACCCATTAATAACCTCATATTACATACAAATAGTAATATTATATTATACTTTAATAGAAATATTAGTACGCACCTGGTGACCTTGCGAGGTTCTTACAGCTTGTACTGCTGCCAAAGCTGATGATGGTGGTGGTGCATATCCTACGCATGACACTTGACTAGATCTGTAGAAAAGTTAATAACAAATATATACTAAGAACTTGTTACATATGATTAATTTAATGTCCCTTTATATATAAAGATATATCAACAAATTTTGTTTGATAAACTGCGTACTTAAATTAATTCCTTATAGAGAAAATAATATGGAATACTTGCCTTCTGCTACTATCAGGTGATAATTGATCATATACGTTAGTGTGTTGAGAGGCAAGCCTCTGGGGTCCAGCAATGCCAATGGTTGTAGCAACTGCACCTGATACTACAGATGCTTGGCTACTTTTGCGTGAGATATCTGAAGACCTGGAAACGAAAAAAGTGAATATCAGTCTAGATATTATTAAGAGCCTCCCAAATTTTTTAACAACATAGTTAAATGAAAACAATATATTACTATATTACTTTAGCATGTATCAGTTTCTTATATACTAGATAAGGCAATGATTGTTATAATTATACTAACCTCGCACTATACAAGCTGCTTCCTGATGAAATTCCAGAATCTCTTCTTGTGTTTGGGACTCCAGTCTTCAGTTCGACTGCTACGTTAGTACTGCCCAATTCTGTTCTTCCTTGGACGGCACCTGAATTAAAATGATAATAAAATTATTATCATAGTCTTTGACAAAATTGTCTCTTAAAAGACGGTATATTTGACCTACCCATGTCATGTACAGAAGGCATAAGTCTCCCAAGGGCCATTTTGTTACCGAATCTTGGTCCATGTCGTGGTTCTCCAATAGCAACCATCGCACGAAGCATCAGTGGGAGCTGACCAACTTCACCAACCACTTCTTGTTCCACCTGAAAAGAATTGCCATTATATAATTATATATGATGTCTGGAATATATACCTTAACGTGACTACAAATATTTCCGGGAAAAAATATAAATATATACCAGTATCCGTAACCAAATGTTTTTTTCTTAAGTCCTATGTTTATTTTAAGTGCTTAATTACATCACCAAATATCTAAATTTAGTTAAGAAGATATATTTTTTACTTTGAATTCGCCTGTGTTCTTGGAGATAGTCCTTTACTGATTAATTGTTAGTTTTATAAATATCAAATTATAATCTACATTTAATATCACTTACATCGCCATCAAGTCGGAAGTATGGGGCTCCGTGTTCGTCACTAAATCCACCTAGCCCTGAACCACCAAAGTCTAAATCTCCACCGCACTGTGCTGAGAGCTAAAAATTAAAACGTATGTTAAAACTTCTCATAAAAACAAAATAAAATTTTTATACTTGTAATTGTCATTAATTCAATATATCCAATTATAACAGAACAACTTGGATTAAATTAAGTTTATAGATAACACACACACATATATATATGAGTGTGTATGTGTTGAAGATGCTATATAGCATCTTCAATTAAGCATTATCTGTGTCTAAAAGAACAATCAAGTAGCATTGAAGTGATTTTCTAAATTAAAATACTGTGCCTCATTCTACTTTTAAATTGCCAGATTGTTTTGACTGGTTATTGACTCACAACGTCGTAGTCTTCTGATAGTATAGGTCACAGGGAATCAGATAATGTCTATAATATTACTCCTTAATAGCTCACCTGATGTGCTGTAGTGTGCATAAGCGGTAGTGGTGAAGCCGGACTTTCGCTCTTGACGGAGGCTGAAGAGGTGTGACCTCTGATAAGAGCACCTCCCTCCTCCGACCTCGGCGAAGAACCAGCACAACCTCCACCAGATTCTGCTGAGTCATCCCCACGACTACAACCTGGAAAATAATAATAATAAGATTTCTTATAACGGTTAAACTTTTCAAATCAAACCTTTGTTTTATTATATAAATATGTATAATATTACAAAATATAGGTAATATACTTTACCTTTATGTTTTTTACTGGCATAAAATTCTGCGCCATGTACTGTCTTCACGTGTTTTCTGAGAGATGATGGATCTGTGTATCTTTTTGTACATCCTGGAGCCTTGCAAACGTATGGTTTCTACAAGAAATTAATCCATTACTATTTATGTGAATTAAGTACAATGTCATTAAGTTAAAGTATATTTTTAACAAATAAAATTAAATACCTCATTACTATGCGTTCGGTTCTGATGCTTAGCACGGTCACTGGCATTGGAAAAAGCTTTCGCACATCCAGGATACTCGCAGGTGTAAGGTTTCTCTCCAGTGTGACTTCGCAGATGAGTCTTTAAATTTTCCAAACGCGAATAGGCTTTGCAGCAACCTTCAAACTAAAGGAATACATATTGTGTTATGCTTTTTACTTATAATGTCATAAATATTATATCAACTTATTCACTGTTTGTTTTTGTGCAGTTAATTCTCCAATGAACATAAGAGAGACAGAATATTTTTCCTTTCCAAAGACTAATTGGTTCATGGACTGAAATATAAAAAGGTTTGAGATACTTACTGTACATTTATGGGGTTTTTCTCCCGTATGTCTTCTCATATGAACTACCAGCATATATTGAGCTTTAAAAGGCTTTTCATCTCTAGAACATCCAACCCAGCGACAGACGAAGGCTTTTTTACTAGCATGAATATGATCTGTATTTATATGTTTTACAAGATCGTCTTGTGTTGGAAACTCAAGTTTACAGTCAACCTGAAAATATAATTTACAATAAATAATACAACGATATCTATATAAAATCCTATTGGATTTTAACGAATATCTATGTAAATGCCATGAATTTCATCAATTCTAATAATACTTACCCAATGACAATTTGTCTCTATAAAGTCCCCAGGCTCATCCTTAGAGTCGAGCCCGTCATGTACAGTACTTTCGGCAGCTGCTGATAACGGTTTATTGCCATGCATATTGTCTCTATGAGAAACCAATACTTGGGGTGATTTGCGCTGCGTTAAGGCCGTTGATGCGCTAAAAATAAAATAATAATATACATTACAATAATACTATTATTAGAGCGTATTATAGGAACCATTGAGTAATATGTGGTTTTTATATTTTATTGTCGTGGACAGTAATTATAATTATATATTTTACCTATCTGCTTCCATGACGCTAGTGATTTCGGGTTGCTGTGGCGGCTGTTGCATATGAGGAGGTGTTCCATCTAAACCCAAACCATTTCTGACATCCACTGGACCACCTATGAGGAGCTGAGTCGGTGAAGATATATGAGATCTGCAAAATAAAAAAATAACATAACATTAATATCAAATAATCTCATGGTCTAAACATCACACAAACCAGTGGCATTACAAAATTACTAATGCTACTGAGAAAACAAATTCTAATCCTTATTTCTTAACTGTCTTTGAACTGTGACTTAAAATCTGAAGTAATCTATTTTGAGAAAACCATGTCCCAACTTACCTGTGTATTCCGGCAACAAGATGCGCATGCGCAGCATGGTGTGCCGCAGCTGCCGCAGCCTGTTGATGAGCAGGATCAAGCAGCACACCTCCGGACAGCACACTGCTACCACCAACACCGCCTCTCGCCAGAAGTTGTTGAGCGAGAGACGCATGAGACAACGACAGCGCCGGAGATATTGCACCTGATTAAAATTACAAAAAATATATATTTTATTAAACGGGCAATTGAACACCAATTTTATTACAATTACGTAGGAATTCTGTTGACCTTTCGAAGTGTAAAAATAGTTTTTAATCAGTATTTTATTTGTGCGGAAGCTACCACCTTATAATGAAGTTCTGTTGTGAATAACCGCAAAAAATTCAGCTGTTGCTACTCTTAAGTCGTAATGTCAAATGCTATATCCAAGCTATAAATTTTAACTTGTCAAACGATACAGTTCAAATACCTTGGAGAATTATTATTGTTATATTGCTAGTGTTTTTTTCTAGTCCAAATAAATACCCACCAGCACTAAGGTGTCCATAGCTGCCGGTGGAGGCCGCTGAAGGCGCTCTGACAGCTAAGCTAGCAGGTGATGCTCTGATGACAGCTGCCAGGTCTAACGACTCAGCAGAGTAGGGACTCCATGAAACTGCTCGTTTTCTATTTGCCGACGCACCTATTGCCCCGCCGGATAACCTCAAACGATTTGGAGAAGCTATTCTTGATCCTGAAGATAATACATACCACACCACATAAATACATTTATAAATTTTAGGATTTTAAACAAGTTTTCTTTTCATTAACTCAAAAACATGTCAATAACAACTTAGGTACGTACCTTCCAAACTAAGTTGAAAATCTTGACTGGCTAATGTACTCCCGGCATGCAATTCCGGATGCAAACTTCTAGCTGCACTCAAATATTCCAAACCTAGAAGAAGAAAAGCGGTTTTATATAACATATATATGAAATATTTTTTCTAATCCATAAAGATTTTTTAGGAAATATTAATTAATCTATGTTTTATTATTGATGGGTTTGGATTTATGCATATTAAGCCGCGAACAATTATTTCATAAATTGAAGGTCACCTATCTTTTATAACTTTCAATTCATGCAGAATAAAATAAGCATGTAACACGATACGTTAATAGACACAGAACGACCACATGACAACATCAGTCTACATTAATATAGACTCAAATGATTATGGATCCATTTTAAAGTATATTATAAAAGATTGAGTTGTCAACGGCCAATTTTGAATATAAAATGTTTATTTAGCGCTGTAGGTGATTAATAACAAACCGCTAGACATTTACGACCAATTTTGTTGATCTCATTTTATGCTACCTAAATGAGGTGGCTCCTAAATATGCTGGCCTAATTGGTAACTACGTTTTGATATTCCGAACTCGATATTAACTTGATCGTCGGGAAATTTTATGGCTCAATTTTTGGCGATGCTAATTTAAATCGTTAAAGATTCGAAACGGTCGGAATGTTTTTTTAATAATGGACTAACATTGGATCATTCGAATCTTTATAATTTAAAAGTTATAAAAAGTTTGGACATAAAACATAATTATTCAATTAGGTACTTGAATAATGTACACGATATATAAATGCAAATATTTAAAGAGCAACCTAACATTATAACAACTTATTTGACGTGTTTTTTGTGAGCTAAATACATGCAAGTGCAAAAAATAACGCAAAAACTCAATAAGCCATAGTGTTTTTTATGCCGCATAATTATAGTGCCAAGCAACAACAATCTATTATGTTAACGTGATTATTTAGTTATTAATCAAAGCTAATCAACTTAAAGGTTCATCGCGGACGTTATTGTGAATCCCCTTTATAATTACATGCCTCATGGTTTTAAAAACAAACACGTTTTAAAGTGAAAAAAGACCAAGACATCTTGATTTGTTGATCACGCTCTGCGAGCCGAGGCGGGCGATTTGGGTTGAAATAATAGGTTGATACAAAAGGCGCGAGGGACCACCGATTTGGCAGACACCCAAATCAACAAGAAAATGAGCGCGATTCCAAAAACCCAACAGAATATTGCCTGTGGTCCGTTTGACGCGCCGCCGAACTACCAAAATTTTTATGTCTTTATTCTCTGTGAGACCGGCCAACATCATCGATATTTCAAACGATAAAAAGCCATCATCCATCGACTCCGATGAAAACGTAACTATCGGAATTCTATTGGATTGGTCACCCTAACGACGTTCGTTTAAACGCTCACAAAAAAATTATACGAATACTGACTTTATTATTTTTTCACTCAGTTGAGTATTGAGTTTGTGACTGGATCGCTTCGGTCGCTTTTTGCTTGATTATTCATATTTCGTATTTATTTTAAAGCTCTCGATTGGGCGTGAAATTAGTCGGCGCGGACGACATCTACTGTGAGTTTCGTGGTCACGTTTTGCTTTAATATATGAATGTCAATAGTTATGTTCGTCGGCGTCTTTTAATATATTAAAAGACTTTGTAAAGTTTACTAATGAGCTTTGTTACATTTATAATTCGGTCGTTTACGAGTCGAGGCTCTGACGTTGCGATGTATATTCGTTAGCATTTTTTATGACTTATTGATCTATGAAAGATAGGTCAGCACATTTAAATCGCTATTAGCATTTATAAGTGACATAAAAATCATCATTAAGAAAAATACAAGTCGTAAATTGTTAAGTATTATCTTATGTGCATTAAACTAATGGCATATGCTAACAAGCTCATACAATAATATACATAAATAATATAATTTTATAATACTAGAAGCTATAATATAAGTTCTGTAGTTCTACATATATGTACTCATTAAAGCATCAGTTGTCATAAAACGATTAGAAGCGGTAGGGTCTCGGGAGAGACTTAACAAGGTTTTTATATTATAATCATTGGTAACAGGTAGATGCAGGTGCTTCTAAGAATTATGTAAAATAAAATTAAACGACGGCAGCTTAGCCACCGTCAAAATGTAACTATAAAGGTGTTATATTTAAATTGAACTTAGAAAAAAAAATACAAGTTTAAAGAGGAAGACTAAATAATAAAACATTTAAACTATTCATTTCATATAATCATATGCTATTATCTAAACATCTTTTTTAATAATTTCTTACTTGAATGAATTTACAACTTCTGACATACCAGTTAGGTCTCGGACCAGTTATCAAATCTAGACTGACGTATCCAAAATGCGGCCTAGATAATATAAATGGCTTTTAAAATACATTTTTACACATGGCCTAACAATTGTGTATTAAGTCATGTATTAATAAATCTCTTATTATTTTATCATGTGAATAATTTAAATGTTTAAAACAATATAATGAGAGCTAAAGTTTGAATTACCTACATGAAAAAAACACTTAATGTGTTAAATGATAATTATCGCTAGAAATCGAACACCGTCAAGCTGTTTCCATATGGACTTCCGGCAAGCTATTACAAGCGGCCCATGGTTTAATTGTCTTCGAGAATAGCTTGGCTTGTTTTTGAAACCCTTAGGGTGTTAGTTTCAACCGCTTTGTTTCACATTACAAATATTATATGTATTATAAAGATTTTTATATTTGTTTAGAACTAATGACGAAGTAGCAATTATACGGATTGTTAAAAATTTGTACATGTATATATTTATATTTGAAGGCAACAAGAAGGTCAGAACGGGTTTAATAAAATTATTTAAGTGGGAATAAGGAAACATTTATAGTTGAAATAATAACAATTGGACGTCATTGCTCACACAATTCAAATATATGAGATGATCTCAAGAACATATTCATTTTAATTAATGTCCTAATTATTCATAATATAAATAACCACGATGTTTGTCATTCCGTAAATCAAAGTACATATAAATTGGATCTCATGTCACCAACAGTTCACGTTCAGTTATTTATTACTAAATTATTCCTATTCCATGTTGATGGGAATGTTCCTGGAAATAATATACTAATACATTTCGCTAAGTTTCCAAGAAAACAATATTGCTTTTATTATTATCTACATTTTAAATAAAAATATATATTTTAATGAAGCCGGCGATCTCTCTTGAGATAATTAAATGTATTTTTATAATCAGAATAATCGTCGCATTAAAAATTAAATGTCTGATATAGTTAGATCGGCGGTGTAATTTTAAATGTTCAGTTTTATTAGCATTAAAATAAGTAATTTATGTCGGCAGCTGCATTACCACGGAATGCGATATTTAGTACATTATCGTTAATTGAACTATTATTCGTTTTTCCTACTTATAATTATTATAAGTAATTGTGTAAAAGCAATTATCTTTTATTAGGAAATTCTACTCTTCTCTAATACCATATTACAACGAATACATTTCTAGGTATAGCCCATACTTTTGATATCAAAGACAGTATTAAAAGTTGTTAGTCAATAGACAAAGCATTTCATTTAAAACAGACGCTGAAAGTCATTATAATAAATATAAGAACTAAAGCACTTATATATAAAACCATAAATAACACGCAGATTTTTTTACATTTTCGTGTCGTAAAAACGAACTTCAAAAGATGATCTAATTTGAAAGATGACAGCTAAAACCGATTCCACAAAAAGCATTATATTCACGAAAATATTATGCCACATGTTTAGGAGATTTCGCTTACAAAAACACGTGTTAAGTTGATAATTAGCTTTCTCGGAAACGGAACGACAACTGTATGATTTATATTTTCCTTAACAAGTTAAAACACGCATGTTGATAGAATTTTAATTTAATTATTATCTACATATAGAATTGCTGTATCTTTTGAATGATAGTTATTCTGTAGATGAGTTTAGTTAGATAAGTTAATAATAAAAATATTTATTGGATTTATTAAGTATTTTGCTATATAAAATATTGATATCGTTTCAAATAACGATTTTCACTAACAAAATTATTTGAAGTATAAATGGTGTTTTAAATAACCGATATATAATTCTTTTAAATATTGAAAACTTAATAATATAACATTAAAAATTTATATATAAATAACTTCATGAAACATTTTGATATTAACGATTAAAATATTACAAGGTTTTCTACATATAACTTAATAATTTAGAATTGTGTTAAAAGTTTTATAAGTATGTGATGAATAATCTATTTTCAAATTAAATCAATTATAATAAATTAAAAGTTACTTAAATGGTAATCGGCTCGTAATTAAAAGTCGAATCTAAACCATTAAACAATGTCTTTTCTAAAGAACTGAAGCCCAAAAACTAAAACCAATGTTTCTGGGAACAATTACGTGCGTGTCGTGGGCGGAACGGATCGGTACAAGTTAGAAGATTCATTGCTTAAACGCTTAATAGCAACTTTAAATAAATTTCAATTATTTGATTTTATGTAAAGATAAATAATTGTGATTTCTTTGTCAAAAAAAGAAAATGATTTTCATATAGCTTTTATGGTAATAAAAGTAACGTGTAATGAGAGCATTATTTCAGTATGAGTTAATATTTTTCTCATATTCCATGTCATATAAATCTGTCGTCATAAATGGTTCTTGATTTACAATTGACATAAAACCGCCACCTCTTAAACTTTAGACCACATCGCTTACACCAATAAGTTGGAACTCGTTCCAAAGATGTCTCAATCTCAATACAGACTGGATCAATCGTTGCCGACTCACAGGTTTTTTCATCGGACATGATCAGACTCGTTTCGAAAGATTTAACTTTAAATAATTTGTTTAATATATTATTTACTACATTCTACTTACATCCATACTGACTACTCATACACATACTAAACAAATATAAACTTTTAATAAGGTTTTAAGAAATATATAGACAATATGCTTCTTGATGGACGAGAAACTCAAGAAGTGCTCGATATTAATGGTAATATATGTACGTAGAACTATTATCACAATTAAAGAAAAATAAAGGTATTATCTAATAATATTTATTGTGGTGACTCTATGACATGAGCGGCGGGGAGATCTATCAGTTGGAGATGTCGTCAATCAGGCGGGAAAGAACAAGTCCGGTGAGCAGTCCATGACGAGAAAATAAAAAGAACTAACTGATAAATAGATTAACCATAACCTTTCAACAGAATGAGAAACTATGATCATTCGTATGTTACAATGATTGATTTATCGACTCAATTCAGACGGTTTTAGTTTTATTTCGAAGTCTTCAAACAAAAATTAATCATTTCGTACACGGATACGATAAAAAAGGAACTGGAATATACTTCTAATTGATTGTTTGATCGACGAGAAAAACTGATCCAATTCCATTCCTATGCTTTAGTCAACAATGCAAATGACGGGAAGACGGAATCAAGAAATGTTTTATTTGATACATTTCTTGCAGCCGTGAAGACGTTCCAAAACTCCATTCTTGCGAAACCATATAAAAAGTCATTCAATTAATGGACCACGGATCAAAATTAAGCCTTCCACGTTTAAAATGCATTAATCCGGTCACTTGTCATGCGCGGGCGCAATCACGGCCTAAAACCCGTTCGGTGTCGCCTCTCGTTCCTTTATAACAAAGATTAGGGCCCAGGAACAGATTTCTTTGACAAAGGCAATTAAGGATATGGATAAGTGTCAAACCCTTTTTTGGCATTTTAAGCTTCAGCAAAGAAAAATGTTGATTTAACTTTATAGATATCTGTTAATTTTAGTATGTTTCTAATATATTTTCACATTATTTCCTCTCAAAATCTATTAGTATATATAATCAAGTATTTTGACAGATGTCTGTTCGAGAATTCTTTTATGTTTTGTTTCATTTCGTGAGAAACACGAAGCCTCGTTCAGTTTTAACGCTCGGTCGACCGGCCGCGGCGTTGGACCTTAATTTATGATTATCGAAAGTAAAAGACCGCATACTTTTGTTTTACCAAAAGGCTTATAATTTTTCGGTGTATTGACTCTTACAGGGACCACGGTTAACGATTTTATAATCTCACACTTCGAGTATAAACAGCTTATATAGCTTATGATACCAAATTTATTGTGATTTCGTATCTCAATAACTTTGTATTTTTACGCCTGCTAACATTTTTGCAGATTCCAACACATTATTTTGATTAAAATAAATATTATTTTCTGCATGCGAAGATTATGAGATCGTTTTAAAAATAAATCTCAAGAGAACTGGTAGATAAAGTGATTAAGGGACGAGGTAAACGTTTATCACGTAATGAAAGGGATTTGTCTGAACGAGTCCATTAAAGCAAATATTAAAAGTCAATTACGCATACAACTGACAAATAAATATCACCTTGCAATTTTGCTCCCTTCTTTACTCTGTGGCAACTGCTTATTAACTTATTATTTTAAACATCACTATTATATGAAACTATTTTCTACTAATTTAGGTGTCATGTAAATTTATTCTTTTGGTTTCTGTTTCAATATCTCTATATTCAGGAGTATCTTTACCTGTTTCTTCCTTAACATTAACGTATAAAATGGAAAACAGTAGGTACATCTTTATTGCGGTGACTTTTAGGTACATGTGTCTTTGTTTCAAGCTCGTCATACACTGAACGGTTGAAATTTAAACTTTTTAAATATAAGTTAAGGTAGTATTCTCCTTATACATTGAATGAGTGGTTATTTGTTTAAAAAGGACTTTATCACAGCACGTAGGCATGATTTGAATAAAAATACAATTTATATGTGTCGGAGGGATCTGTTAGGCAGTGTAGGGTTACAGAGCCGGTCCAACAACTCTGGCTTCCAATTTGTTGGTGCATTTCTGAGTAAGTTATTAAGTTTCGGCTTGTCACTTCGGTTGCAAAATTTTGCAGTCCACTGATGATGTTTTATATTTTGCATAATAACCAGTTTTCGTGGTTCCCAATAATTTTGGTTATTTTTTTATTATGGTCTTTCGACTTTTATTTTTCCATCATTGCATGCATCGATTCAATTTAAACTTCAAATAACTTAATTTTTCAATGTGATTTTACTGTGGACTTCAAAAAAATTATAAATTAGGATTTCATAAAATATATATACTCAAATTATAATAAAGAAAAGTATTAATAAATTATAATAAATAATAATTAAGTTATAAGTAATAAAATGTGGTATCGGAAATCAGTAGCTAGTTATTAATATTCATATTCTTAATGTAGAAGCAACAAAAAACGAAGGTTAAAAAAGTAAGGTTAAAAGCTTTGATACAGGTATTAATATCACTTATCAAATTGGCCTATTGAAGTGTTAAAGACCTGTCACTTGCCATTTGGATTCCGAGCAATAGACCATATATAAGCACATTATATTTGCACGGAATATTTTATTACATTCAACTTATAAATAGGACGATAGATTATCATAAAAATCTATTCAAATTCGATTGCCGCTTTAATGAAATAAAAAAAGTATAAGAACCAGACTGAATCCTCGGCATAAGGTATCCAAAACTTCCTAACTCAGGAACAATAGAAATCAAAAAACAAAACTCGAGCGTGCAAGAAACTTAACCCTTCACGGTCGAAAGTATTTCTGCGCCGAATCGAAACTGTTTACGGGTTAAAGAAAAAAATTGCAATCGCTATCAAATTACCACGGCTGCCGAGGTCCCCTTACACGTCTTGAGATAACGCTCAATTAGGTGCGATTTTTTCATTTTGGACAGCTTTATGCATTATGTGTGCAATATAAAATGTTTTATGACTTAAAGCGGCTATGTTTTCATTAATTTCAGATTCATTTAGTATTGGAATGTTCGAAATAAATAAGTTTCAGATATGAAATTAGCTTTGGACAATTCTGTAACGTAAATAGTACAAAGAAATTATTGAACTTTTTGTGATCTATTCATAATAAGTTATTCGTATTGAAGAGGTAATTTAAATATATATTTTTATTTTTATACATATCCGAGTATTCGAGAATATTAAAATATAAGTGGCAAAGAAGTTTAGAATAAATTATATGGTACAATTACATTTTAATTAAATACATATTTGAAATGTGTTTTGTAACGAAAACGTGGGTGATTTGTAATGGACCAATATTCCTTTAATTTTTTTCTCAAAACTCGATTCTACAAACTCAGCGAAGTTCTTAATTCAATTTGTTATGAGCTATAAATTTTCACCCATAAAGAAGTTTTATAGATTTTGCAGCATTCAAATTTATAATATAATTAAACACAATTTGCTAACATTACACTGTTGACTTGTTCTATCATATGATGTAGTGTAATGTATTGTTTACTTCTTGCTTCATTACTCTGACCACGCTTGACTTACCATCACCAACCGGATGTGCTTTAAAAGCCTTATTAACTATACAAATAGAGATGTTACAGAACTTTAGTCGAGATTTTTATAAAAAACTTGCTATATTTATGAATGTATATACCTTTTTGTTACTTTTTTGCAATGTATTATCAGAAAAAGGTTAGGTATATGACTGCTTTATCATAAAAGGTTTGAGTGCTATATGTATTTTGTTTCGGAAAGCAAGTTAAACACCAAGTATGTTTAAATCAGTCTGTACGTTTTAAAGAACAATAAATTTTACAAAGAATTGCTAATTAAGACTTCTAGCGCAATAAACTATGAAAGAAAATATTACCTACTCAATATATTACTTGCCCGTGGAAATATTACATACAATACAACTAAATAGTATTTGTAAGAAAGATGTTTGGTTTAAGTAACCTTTTTTTCTGGATCACCAAAATATTTAAAGAATAATATACAGGTTTGTTGACAGCAAAAATATCGCGTTCATGTTCCTAATTATTATTTAAGAAAATATCTAATTGTCAGTTGTCACACGGAAATGCTTTAAAAACCACTCTCGTAACACCTTAATACTTCCATAAAAAATAATATTTACTTCAAAAACCGGAAACCTACCGTAAAAGTGAACAAGTTTAATCTGTTAGAATGTCTTAATTGTAAGATTCGAGTCCCAACCCTTCTTTTCTCAAATGCATGCCAATTTCAACCCGAGGCTTAAGCACCGCCTGTCCTTAAATAGCCATTGCGTATCTTATATCATAAACAGAAATAAACGAAATTCAACCTTAAAACAAGGTCTATATGGCTGTTTTTAAGATACAAAAGTTTTGGAAATGAATGGTAGCAGTCGTGAGTCCAAATCCTAATTAACACCTTCGTGTATAGATAAATTGTGCCGATAGTATACGGATGTTTCCTTGCCTTAGTTTTTGAAATATTTACGATCATTGCAATTTAAAAGTTTGGACAATGCATTCGTAATTGACTTGAAATAAAAAGACATTACTACCGTCATTTCAAACTTATCTCTTTTAAGGGAAAACAGTCTAAAATTTTGGAATTCATACCGATTATTCTAGTTATAACACTTGCAAATAAGTGCAATATCTGAAAAGTAACTTATATTACAAAGAACCGATTACTTTGCCGGCTTTATCGTGTAAAATGTTATCAATGCAGTGTAGCGTTACTGAATTATACGAACTACATTCGACTCTACAACGAGAGTCACCTTACAATGTTTTGGTGTGGGTGGAAGGTTGATAAGATTCAGGTTAAGCCTGTTTTAAGTGACTTACATGAGAATTCTTTGGATTAACATTAAGTTATCCATATTTGAATGATTTAATTGTTTAGACGGTTCTAGTATATCAAATAGTTAAGTTGTCCTAAATGATTGTTGAATTCTTATAACTCAAAACGGTATTATACACGTTGGAAATAAAGAAAAGTTTTTGGGACTAAATCTTTTACTTAATGGCAATTGCATAAGAATACTCTTTTATTTGGACCAAAGAACAAACCAAGGAAACAAGAAGAAGAATTACTCTCGTTGATTTTGACCAAAGAAGCAGCATAAACTTACCTCGTAGAGTATTAGCACCATAAAGAGGATGATCATAAGGCACGGGACGATAGGCTGGATGTAGTGCTGCAAGGTAACTCAACTCGCTGGTAGCCCCGGCTGCCGCTGCTGCTGCCGCTGCTAACCTGAAAAAACAAAGGCCTTGAAAAATTTGTATACAAAATAATATCGTCATACATAAACAAAGAATGCATTAAATGTCAAACTATAAAGCAAAAACTTAAATGCTGAGCAAGATATTTAATAAGCCCTGGTCCCATGGACACAAATTTCTGTTTTGTTACATAGAATAAATTTTATAACTCATGTATAATCATGAGAAATCGATAACCTTAATGTTTTAAATTCTTGATGTTTTGTTTTGAAAAGCAATTAAAAATATTCGCGGACCAATAGAAAGAATCTAACAAGTCATTAAACTTCTGCAACACAAAAGACGATGACTAAAAAAGAATTGTTCTATTCAGGGCATGCGGACCATCACGAACTGAAGGTCTTAAAAATGGGGGTCCGTATAATGTGACAGTTTAAAAACAAAGACTGAAATTTTTAATATGAAATAGAATAGATAGTAACATTTCTTTATTTGCCAAAAATTTCAAAAGCTCAATGTATCTTTTGACTTTTTTATGTTCATAATTCCATCCTAATAAATAGGTTATGGAACCCTACGAAATTTTGAGACCAAGGTACCCATGATGTTATTCGTCTGGACATTTGATTAGGGCAATAAGCGACGTCTGGGCGACATTTTTGGTGCAAATTAAAGGACAGCAACAAAAAGGGATGGAATTTTACACATTTATTTGCACATAAGTAAATACCTCACGTGATTAAGTCCGCAGGAGAATAATAATGATTTTAAGGATTGATTAAAAGTCTTAATGGTTGTGTAACATGACGGATTACCATCAGGAACAAAAAATGATGATTCATCGATTAATTTTAACATTTAATGTTACACGGAAACCTTAGTACTTATGTTTAAGTAGAACTAAAATCTTCCATAGAAAATTTTCCTAATATTTATTACTCATCCAAGTAGACGAACGATAGAATATATCACACGAGTCGTGTAATAGATAAACAATGTAAAAGCATACTTGGTTCTCACGTTTACTTAAAAATAAGACAAATGGAAGAAAGCGTTCCAAGCTGATCCAGAGAATAAAAGCACAATAGCGCACGCGCAATGCGCCCACTAATAAAATTATTAAACAAATCAAGCTCATAACATAATAATGCAGCAAGAAAATTGTCGGGTGGGCTCGGAATAAAGAAATTATCTAACTTACTCGCCAGACGATTGCGCCCTTCGAACAAAGACGTTGCATTGAGAAACTAAAGAAAAAAGTATAGCGGTTTACAAAATAAACAAATCAAGTGCAAGAACACGCGCGCCTGCGCCTCGTGACGTCTTCATGTAGGCTATCTTCCTCTCTCAAGGGATTGGTCCATCTCATCCCACGGGGGTGACAAGGACGACTGTATGTAAATAGTTCCGTTTAAGTGGAAAAAGTTTAAAAACAATACTGGATGTGAAACAAGTTTTACAGATTTCGCGCAGACGACCTCTTTTTCAATTTGATGTTTTATTTAGGGTCATTCGAAATGTATAACTTACTGGGCATAATTGGATGGAAGCGCATTCAAAGTTTTATGTTTTAATCATTTACTTATGATTTCTTTAACATTTTCATGAGATATTGGATTTCATATATTTTGACGTAAAAATTTATGACAATTGAATCAATAATTGTTACGGAGTATCTTACAACTGATTGACTAACTGTAATTTCATTTTTAACTGAATTCATCGTTGAACATATTCATTTATACTTAGCTTCAAATAATTTGGTTACTAGAATAATTTAAAAGATATTGACGGTACTTTTAATGATATTATATACATGTATATGTATATTTGTTTTATTTATAACCCAACAGATAACATCTTTATTTACGGGGAAGTAAAACCTCAACTTTTAATAATTATTAATAAGCTTTTAATACGAAGCAAACTAAAATGATTCATTTGTTAATGAGAATAAGACATAATATCGCTTGTAATGTTTCTGTATATTATACTTGACAGATCACCGATCTTTACGGTGTCGCATATGACGAGTTGACGGAAAGGGTTAGCGTTGAATAAAATTTACAACGCGGTTTAAAACTTTATTTATTGAACCATTTATAAATTGATCGATTTCGGTAGAATCTTTTATGGGTTTTAAAACCTTGGATACAAGGATATTTAAAATTAATATTAAGTATTTTTATTCCATTGTTTTTATCCGCGGACTAATAGGTATTTATATTTAATTCGTTCACATCTTGAAAACCTATAAGCGAACCGTGAAACGATTTGAACCCATTCATAGCACGAACCCACAATCACTTCACGCAATGAACCGCTTCATTGAACAAAACTGCAACCACTTTACAAAATTAAACCAAAACCACAATGTTATAGTCATTTAAATTTACACTCGCGATATTCTCATGAAAATACACACACAATATAACAAGTATAAATAAATACAAATTATACACTTTTAAATAAGATTAAACACATAAATTTTAATGTGCTAACGTAAAGAATCGGATATTTTCTTAATTCCGTGTGAATACAAACCAGTATCACGAAGTCTCCACGTTAAATAATCCACAGGCTTCGACTCCAACATAACATGAACGAAAGATTTATTAGGGTTTAAATTTTTTACGGAAGGATAAATCCAAACGACTTAAACAAATGCTCAAATAAATGAACGTACCAATCAATAACTCTTAAACATACTCATTTTTGTATTTTTAATGTATTTTCTGACTTATGTTTTATTGTAATAACATATATTTTTTAAATGTATTTTCTAAATATCAAGATAAAATATACCAGGAAAATAGTAGTATAAGTCAAATCAATTATTGTTTTAATCACGATGCAAAAGTAATAAAATATGTTTTTTTTTATATATTTCTTATATTCCTATATTTTGTAAGTATTTTTCTTAAGAGCTAACAAATTGTTTTGGAGTTTTATAGCCTTATCAAAATATATTTATATTACTTTTTTATTCGAAAAAGAGAATAAAGATTAAAACACAAAATCCTCTTTTGTTTATGTACGACCATTTGAAAACCTTCTGTTGTAAGCTTTCGATTACACTAATACAGGGTGATCCGATTTTCAAAACTGAAGAATTGTTTGAAAGACTTAAATAGTTAATAACAATAAATTATATCATCATATTAAGACGCCTTAAAATAATAAAGCGATTTCTTAAGGTCATTGCCATATACTTAAAGTTAAAAATGATTCAATTATTAAAATTATCCGCTGACATACCAAAATAAGCGTGACCTCACCATAAAGATTTAACTAATGGCCATCTCGGTCCCCTGTAGAGTGGACGGTCTCTGACGTTTTATTTTTCATTATTAAAGGACAGCTCAATTAAAATAAATGAAACAGAACATGAATCACCCTGTGGTGTGAAGTTGTTCTTCCAAGAACTCTCAGCAGGTATCGGACTATTGTATCATAATTCATGGTATTTCTATAGTCTCTTAAAATAATTGGACTTGAATAAATAAAAGAACATTGGACATAAGAAAGTTTTGCGTGTCACAAACACACGCTGATTTATTTTTGTGTATTCAGTCCTGAATTTAACAAAATTTTTTTTTTTGATCGGTTAAGGAATAAAAAATTTAACATTTATGAAATTTTTACGGTTCGAAGAATTCGATTTCTACTTCGCGAAATAAAACATTTTACTACCAGGTAAAAGTGTTTTTAATATCACTTATGCTAAATCAAACTTGTATGGAATGTAACCAGCTCTTATAAACTCAATCCGAAATTATTTCTACTTAAAGTCACTCAAAATAACATCACTACTTATATTAAAAAAAAAATTAGTATAAAGTCATCTCAATACAACCCATTAAATAGGTCGCGTATTCTTAAAAACATACTCTACAATAATAAATGAAATAAAAAGAATTCTCAAACTTATTTCATGGTAATAAAGATTAATTTTATATTTCCACTACCCACAGACGCCTCACGTCCTGATAGGGCTAGTATCAAATATCACGGTAATATTTAAAATATATCTCAACGTTTTATCCGTAAACAAATGTACAATACGCAGATCGATACGTTTCTGCCTCATGAAAAATTACCACCATATTAAAATCATTTTCATAATATTCTCGTTTTATACTCTTTTTTAAATCTCAAGGCATATTTAATTATTCATTTCAGACAAACAATAAATAACAGAACAGAAACTAATCAGGCAACATAAAGCAGCAAGAACAAGTTTTCTTACAACTCCATAACGTTCAGGAATAAAGCCAGACCGACGTTCTATAACGTTCTGGTCTAGACAACTAGGGTGACCATGTTCACTATTTATCTTAAAACTCTGACTAATGACAGTCCATCCAAAGATTAGCCCTTATTATACATTTTATAATCAATATTAATTTCAAAAAAAAGAAACAATGATACGTGAGTCAAAAGTAACGGAGAATTTCAGATACAAAAAGGTTTTGGTGATTACTCCGAACCCTTTGAAATTACATCAACTATGACTAAAATATCCCTCAAGCTTTACTTATTTTGAAATCTACGTAAGTTTAAGTATTACAAAAATTATGGTATATAGAAAACCTTTAAATTTAGTTTACTTATTTTAATAAACCATGGTCGCCCTATCTAACGATATAACAACGAACAAGAGGTCGTTCAGAACTCACAGTAAACAGCTTGTTCTGTTAACAAAATTGACATGTCAGCTCGAAGTTTAAATCCTAACTCATGTTTACTTACTGAATACTACATACAATTATTTTCTCTAGATTATTCTGTTAATGCTCTACCAATGTTATATAAATGCTTTCCATAATGATACAACCAATACATTTATCTCATTTACAACTAGGTCACCTGATAACCCTATTATATTAAAAAAACGTTCTACTTTTATTTCAGATTAAATTATTAATTATATAAAATTTATGTTAAGGATAAAAAAATCATAATATAATTTTGCTTAGAAAGTAGTACTCAAATTTGTTTATGGACTGGACTATACAGAAATAAAGCTTT